TACACTAGCGCCTCTAGCGGCGGATTCATAATTCCTTATTGTGATATAATTTGCTATATCCGATGAATTAAAACCCATAAAAAATAATATTCATACTACTCCAATAAGATATTGTATGATTAGATTTATGATTTATGTACGATTTATTAATTATATAAGTATTGTATTATATCTTTTTATAATGAAAATAATATAGTATTTATTATATTTATTCCATAGTAGTTTTATCATTTGGGTATTCCTGGAGGCTATAATAGCATTTATTCAATAACATTAACTTATTTTTTTTAATAAAAACATTGTAATTTTCTTCATTTTTTAAATTTTCAGGTAATTTATTATAGATTGTTATAGACATATTATAAGTGCTCGATGAGCATAATTTAAGGCGAGTAGTTGGAACCATTAGATTTTTCTTGTGTCTCGATGTATATTTTGAAGGAATGTTTTCTCTTCTAGTAAAAAAAATTGAGTATTTTTTTACAAATTTACAAATCTGCTACCCCCCCCCCCCCCTTTTTTTTTATAACGCAGGTAAAAAAGTTTTTTGGAGACTACTGGCGCCTTTAAGCGGCACACCGCCGAACGGACCTCACACCTGGCTCCTCCAAGTTTTACGGACCCCCCAGTGGCTACCCACCGAGGACCCTGCACCTCCTACGAGCGCTTTCCGTCATAATATCCGCTAAAAAAGTCCTGCGAATACCTTCAACACTGCTTGATGCGGAGCCGCGGGTACCCATGGTGAGGGATTTCTCCGCATCCCCGCACCCAGCAGCTTCCCGGCCTCGCCGGGGCTCCACGGCAGGAGTCTCCCGAGGTATTGCGGGGACCCCGCAGACGTGCGCAGGTAGGCCCGCGCTTGGGGGCTGAGTACGTGGCCTAGTGCCCACCGACCCCCCTAGAATGAACACCACGATAGGATATACTCGTATATCTCGTTTTGATCACGCTCAATTGTCAAATTAATATGGAGTTTGACAGTTAGACGCGATTAAAATTGTGATATAACGACATGGTGCTCATGTCATGCCACAGGGTCTAGAACGTGAAATTACCGTCACTCAAATTATATTTTAAGTCAGTTTATTTTTTTTAACGAGCTTTTATTTATTTTCACTGAACACACTTCCCGGTTTCCGATTTGGACTGAAATTTTGAACGCATATGTAGGGTCAGTTCGCCTGTTCGCGTCCATCGCCCAATTCGCGTCCATTTTACGGATCTCCCTTAAAAAATCCTCAAAAATAAGTAAACTAACACACCAATCAAAAGAAAAGTAATTACCGCTAATACCTTAATATATAAGAGGCACGAACACATGGTCAAAAGGTAGGTGCGCCAAACAATCCCGTTTAAAAAAAATAGTCTCGGTTATTCATCAAGGGAGTGCGTACACGCGGGATGTTTAGATAAAAAATAGTGTGCAGCGGCGCGTTCGATGGTAAGTTTTTTTTATTTTTTTATGTTAATTTTAGGATACATAGCTGTTTCTAGACTTTTATAGTGAAGAAAGGAATAATATTAATTATAAATTTTCTAATGTTTTTATATTTATTGAAAAAATGGATGCGTGTAACTTATGTACGCGCGTGAGAAGTTATACTTCTTTTGCATCATTAAAAATATTTTTTAATTAGTGTCTATATAGAAACTAGAAACATGTGGATAAATATTATAAATATGAAAACAGTGATCAGAGGCGACGAGCGTGCCAACATTGTTTTTGACAACGCGATCATCTTATGGAGCTCCGTGGATCGTTCAAAGTACCTTTCGAACAGATGTCTAATAATGGTGGATTATTAACCACTAAATGGTTAATAATCCACCATTATTAGACACTAACATTCATAACGCGCCCGCGGCCAACTTCATGGTGTTACCATTGTGTTACAGTGATGCGCGCGCATCTCGAAATTTCACTCACATGATTTTTTCATAACGCGCCCGCGGCCAACTTCATGCTGTTACTTTTGGGTTACAGTGATGCGCGCGCGTCTAAAAATTTCACTCTCATCATTTTTTCATAACGCGCTTAAAGAAGTATAACTTCACCTCGGTCACAAAATCGGTCCAGTCGTTTAAGAGAAGTTCAGTGACATACACACTCACAGAAGAATTATATATATAAAGATGATTCAAATCAATTTTTCGGATTGGTATTTTTTTCATTATTAATTTGCAGTTTCTGAGAACATTTACCATAGTAGTGTATATTTTTTTTATACCATCAGAAAGTAGAGATTTCAATAAACAAAAAACAGCCCAACTTTTTAAAAAAAGCAGATATTTTGTCGTGAGAATTTTCGATTGAAAATAAAGGTGCTTTTTCGATATTAAGTCAAAATAAGGTGAAAAAATGAATATTTTAAATCAGAAAAATTACTGTATGTTTGGGACATACAAAGGTAAGTTTTCACCAAATTTCGTGAAAAAATATTTTTTTTTGCAAAAAATAATAATCAAAAACCAAAAACTCGGTTATTCGCATTTTTCACATAAATTTAGAGGTTATGTGAAAAAAGTGTCGATACAAAAGTTGTAGATGTTTTTATTACCTACAACTTTGACATTTAACTTTTTTTCATAGGACTTGCAGTTTTACCGGAAATCGAGATTAACCATTTTTTACCCTTAAAACTCACCCCCTCCCCCTTCCCGACCTCAGATCGCCCGTAATTTATTTTTCCTTTCATTTTTGTTATATTCTCTACCTTTTCTAATGGGTTTCATCCTACTATAATTTTTTTTGGTCTCAAAAATTATCGACCCTGGTCTATATAGTAATTAGGTATTTAAAGAAGTCATTGTGTTTAATAGAAGCCTGAGAACAAAAACTATAGTCTAAACTACAGCTCTACACAGAAGCGAAGCGAGGGCGGGCCACTAGTTAATAATATTATCTATACTAATGTCAATTACAGTTTTCCTGGTATTTTTTTTGAAAACAAGCTTATAGTCATTATCTATAACTATACTACAATATGACTACTTGTGTATATTGCTTATAACCGGACATAACTTTCGAAATTATGTGGTCCCTTCAATGTCGTTATATCCGGTTTCGTCTGTAGTTACATAATCGCAACAAATAAACCGCTCGCAACGCAAATCTGGTGATCTGTACCCCTAGCACGAACCAATATCGAATTCGTATCGTTTGCGAGTTCGAAATGTCATTGTCAAATATGTACTGATTTTTAGTTCTCGTTACGTACTTTGTGCCGCTGCTGTTCAAGTTTCTATACAAAATTTGACATTGACATTTCGGTTTGCAAACTATTCTAATTCGATAACGGTTCGTGCTAGGGGTACAGCTAACCTATTCGCTAACTTTTTTGACATTTACCGTGTATAAAACTAAAGAGAAAATTGCAGGTCCATCGATGCTTTTCAGAACAAGCATCTTAGTAGCCTTGTAATAAACCAGTAGTAGATCACTAAATAGTTTGGTGATTATCACATCCATCTGTCAATAGCATTTAGCGAATATGCCTACTAGTGATGTAACGAATGTCATTTTTTGAACATTCGCGAATGCGGATGCGAATGTCTGGTACCGACATTCGCGAATGCGAATGCGAATAGTTAGTTTTTTTTTAATTGGCGCCAATTGTCTATGGCATTGTGGCAGTCTCGTTCGAATTGCCGAGTAGATATGAACTCTTCCGACTGAAGTGTCATTCCGCTCGCACCGGTCTTTCCGTAAACAAAAGAAGTGAATTTTGAGGTTAGTGATTGTGAGTGGTAATAGTGATTTATTAACATGAGTAAATCGAATTCTAGTGAAACATGGACTTATTTCACACTTTGCGATGCTGAACGAGCTAAATGCAATCTGTGTAACAATGAATATTCAAGGAAAGGCAGAACTACAACTTCTTCAAATTGTTTTTTTCTAATATTCATATTCGCAAAACATTCGCAGAGATTTTGCGAATGCTAATGTGAATGCGAATATTCAAAAATATGCGAATATTCGCGAATGCGAATGCGAATATTCGTTACATCACTAATGCCTACAGGTTATGACCCACGCGGCTCCAGTGCGGATTGGTGGGTACAATACCTTTTTTATGGAATAGGGATATTGAGATGGATACGGGAGGGCGCTGACCAAATCCGCCCTGGATTCAATCCGCGCTGGGCCCATTCCGCACTGGGCTCATTCCGTACTGACCCCATTTCACACTGGGCTCAAAAGATTGGTGGGTAGGATACTTTTTTTTTAATGAATTTGGACCATGACTTGCCGGTGGGTAGTATCTTCTATAATATAAAAATGAATCGCTGAATGTGTTGCTAAGCGCAAATCTTGAGAATAGCTGAACCGATTTCGATAATTCTTTTTTTAAGAATATTCCTTGAAGTACGAGGATGGTTCTTACGCAGAGAAAAAATAAAAAAAAATGCCCGAAAAAGTCCAAAAATAACAAGTTTCTATACTCCCATACAAACGATTCGGAATCTCTTATCTATTAGACAAGTCCGTCCGTCTGTCTGTGGTGCTGTTTCAGCGGCCAAACCGTAAGAGATAGATAAAGAGAATGTTTAAGTTATAAGTTAAGAATAGTCTGATAAGACTACAAACCGGATTTGAGTAACGTAGCAATTCCGGTTTTCGAGAAATCACGAATTTCAAACGAAACCACACAAAATCTCCGAAGTTCTCAATTAATTAAATACATTTTTTTTTAAATCAAGTTTTGGTGAACATTTGGTTCACTGGTTTGCTAGTAATACATAAAAGTCAATTTGAACTTTAATGCCATACGATAAATTTCAAATGTTAGTAGAGAGGTTCCGGGAAGGCAAAACAATTGAGTGACGTGATGTCAATAGAAGTTTGGAAAAGGCAAATACATATACCATTTTCAGTTTTTTTTTATATAGAAATACATATTAAACATCCATGACTGGAGTACAAATGCTCGTATTCATCACACAAACATCTGCCCCCACAGGGATTTGAACCCGGGTCCTCTCGAGGCGGCGACACCATGAAACCCGGCGTACAAACTATGCGGCCACGGAGGTGCAAGCGTATCAAATAACTACCCGCAAACTAAGAATTTTTCATACACCTACCCTCATTTACTTCCTAGTTTACCTAGCGGCTCTCTTTAAAGTATAGCCTCAGACTAGCCAAGCTCAACAGACATTTGAACAAGGTTTGCTCGTCCACAACTGCTAAAAGTTACTACCGTTGATTTAAAGAAGAATTTACTCTCAACACAGCACAGAATGGCTTCAGATTCCGACGTGGAGATGCAATCGGCGTTGCCGAAGAAGTCTACCAAGAAAACACCCAAAAGTCCATCAGAGGACATGTTGAAAAAGGACAACGAAGCAAAGAAAATGACAACAAAAGACATGATACGCAACGCTCTCACCGAACTGAAGTCCAGAAAAGGCGTGTCCTTGTACGCAATCAAGAAATACGTGACGGAGAAATACGATGTGAACCCGGAAAAGATTAACAATTACATTAAGAAATCTATCAAGACCGAAATCGAGAAGGGATCGATAATTCAAACTAAAGGTATTGGCGCTTCTGGCTCATTCAAACTGGCACCAAAGACGAAACCAGCTGAAAACCCTACCAAGAAAAAGGTGGCAAAGAAATCGACAAAAGACAAGAAGACTGCCAAACCGAAAGACTCCAAAGACGGAGAAGAAAAACCAAAAGCTAAGAAAGCCAAAATATCTGCGAAACCTGACAAAACAGAAGCGAAGCCTTCTAAACCAGTCGATAATAAAAAGGAAAAGAAAATAACTACCAAAGGCGAAAAACCAAAACCCGAAGCCGTAAAAAAGTCTGCGAAAAACATGGCGAAGCAAACTCCCGCCAAAAAACGCGCCGCCATGATGAAACGTAAAAGTATTGGATCAATAATAAAACCGCCGAAAATGAAACCCAAAGCGCGCTAAATAAAATACCAATTAATCGAGATTAAAATGTGAAATATTATTTTAACATCATGTGATTGTATATTATATTTATAATTGTAAAAGGACTTGTAAATTAAAGAAATTAGGATTTTACTTTTGTTTTTCTTTTAAAAAGAATTGCAGAATTCTAAAGGGACCTAAAGCCGAGAATTGGCGAGTGTCGAGGTATTCGAGGCGGATGGCATCTCCCCTCGGGGGGAGTATCTCCTCTCCGTCTGAAGCCTCTAAACCACTTGAGCCTAAGGGGGTCGGCTCAACTAGAGAAATGCGGACCTCGGCTCTAGGAAGCCGTTGTTGTGGAGGATGGGAAAAACAACTAGGTACATTTACAAATAAAGAGGCGTGAAGAAGCAACATGCAGGCCGGCAGGGTGAGGATGGCTGGTGTGGCAGGTAGAACTGCTGTACCAGCTATCCTCGCGTCTGGACTTCACCGTCACTTAACATCAGGTGCAGAGGCGGATCTACCATATGGCTTTTTGGGCTTCAGCCCAGGGCCCCGTGGATTCAAGGGGCCCCCAGCTTAGTCAAGTCAAAGCCAAAAATAGACGATATGGCGAAAGAATCCAAACTTTTATTAAAGTAAACAGATCGGAAATTCAGACAGGCAAACATCGCTGATTTCCATAGCAGATATAATATTTTCAAAATAGATGTCTAAAGCTGAACTAGTGAGGCACTAAAGAAAGAAAATTAATATTATTTTCTTTAAAGCAGTAGACTCAATGATTAGAAGTACCCCTAGAATGTGAGGAGCAAATTAAAGAATTTGCCTTGTCTGCACTTTGCAGTAGGTAAGGTTGCTTTGTAATTTGTCAATTTATTAACAGTAGTATAATACTAAGGCATAATATAATTTTTTTTTTCTGTCTCATTTTTTTCTATACTTTGAGGTGGGCCCCTAAATAGTATTAGCCCAGGGCCCCCTTAACTCACGGTCCGGCTCTGATCAGGTGGGGTGGAGTCAAGGGCGGATCCAGAAGGGGGGTCATGGGGGTCATGACCCCCCCTGGCCCCCCCTGGGCCTGGCCATTTGTACCCACTTCACAATCTGTGCTTCACAATCGGTACCCACTGTGGCTTGACCACGAACGACTATATGACCCCGCCCCCCCCCCCCCCCTGGCGCCAAAGCTGGAACCGCCCTTGGGTGGAGTCATTTGTCGAACATATCTATAAAAAAAAACTGTACTTACGCACGCAAAGTGTAGTCTGCAATCTTAATCCTACGGGTGCGCCCCGTGCGGTGTCTGCCTAATGCTAAGATAAATAAATATATAAATATTTCCAACACTCACACCAATTAGCCTAGCCCCAAAGTAAGCACTGTAGGCTTGTGTTATGGGATGCCAGTGTAACGGATAGAATACATATACTTATACATATATATTTAAGTAGGTATATTTATATAGCAATACATATTAAACATCCATGACTGGAGTACAAATGCTCGTTTTCATCACACAAACATCTGCCCCCACCGGTATTCGAACCCGGGAGGGACCTCTCGAGTTGGCGATACCATGAAACCCAGCGTATAAAACACTCGGCCACGGACATCGTCAAAATTGGATCAATATGAAAGCCACGGAGGTTCTAATAAGATAGTGTGCATATGACTATACCGGGGGTAGTTGAAAAAAAAAATGGGTGCGTGTACTTATGTAGGCGCGTGAGAAGTTATCCTTCTTTGGCAATTAATTAAATTTAATCAATTACAATAAATTAATAAAAAGTCTGGAAAAGGACAGTCAGTCAAGTTCAGTTTTAATTTGAAAAAATAAATAATAATCAAAATATTCAATTAAAATCGCTACTGAATATAATTTATTAGAACATATGTGATTTGCACTTGTATGAAACTCAAACACGTATTCCGAATATACAAACTAGAAACATGTGGATAAATATTATAAATATGAATACCTATAACTGTTACTTTATTACAAAAAATAAAGATGTGGTTTTTGGTTCTACTACACCAATGGTCAAGAGATGGCGCTGTAGTCTCCTGAATCGCGCTTTGGTTCCGTTGTTCCAGATTAATAAATACTTTTGATAGGCCTTCACAATGCAGTCGTTAGCACCCACTAAATAGAGATTCTATTTCTATTTTGTTGGTAGATTTTCTTAATGTGCGGTAAACACAAAAGTAACGCATGAAGTTGGTCTCTAAAGCGACCAACTTCATGCTGTTAAAATTTTGTGTTACAGTGATGCGCGCGCATCTTAAAATTTCACTCTCATCATTTTTTCATAACGCGCCTAAAGAAGTATAACTTCAAAAATATTTTGACGATTCAACAGTTGTAAAATTTAATAAAGCTTTGAAGGTATTTAAACTTTGAATACTTATATGAAATGAAAAGTACGTCACAATTCAATAAACTTAATCATACCTAACGAATAGTGGTGATGACGGGGTACAGTAAACGAAATTCTATTTAGTTCGTCAGTTAGATGATCAAACAATAATGGACAGGTATTTTTTCTTTGGGCAATCAACCAAAAAATGACACAAGTTATAGCGCGTCAAAGTTTGGGAGTAGGGGCTCGTGACGTCATTTTTAAGTGAAAATTCTACCAAAACGTGACGTCATGCGACTTTTCAAATCAATATATCTCTGCAATGTTTATATTATGTGGAAAAAGAAAAAATACGTGTCCAATACTTTTTGATAATCTACCTGATAAACGAAGAAAATAAAATAGTCATCATCCCTATAGGCCTAGCCCAAAAGTAAGCACTGTAGGCTTGTGTTATGCGATACTTATTCTATCTTTATATATATAATTCTTCTGTGAGTGTGCATGTCACTGAACTTCTCTTAAACGACTGGACCGATTTTGATGAAATTTTTTGTGTGTGTTCAAGGGGATCTGAGTATGGTTTAGATTCACAATTTTGTCCGCTGGACAACTCCTATTTTTTTAGGGCGGTACGAAGTTCGCTGGGTCAGCTAGTATTTATATAGAAATAGATATTAAACATCCATGACTGGAGTTTAAATGCTCGTCGTGCAACCATCACACAAACATCTGCCCCCACCGGTATTCGAACCCGGGACCTCTCGAGTTGGCGCCACCATGAAACACGGCGTATATTTTTGGGATAAAAACTAATTTATGTCCTTTATCGGGACTCAATCAAACTATGTCTACCGAATTTCATCTAAACCGGTACAGTAGTTTAAGTGTGAAGATGTAACAGACGGACAGCAGACACTTTCGTATTTATAATATTAGTACGCTGCCTAATTTGAAGGTAGAATTTATAATTCGTTAGGTATGATTAAGTTTATTGAATTGTGAGGTAGTTTTCATTTCATATAAGTATTCAAAATTAAAATACCTACAAAACTTTATTTTAATTTTACGACTCTTGAATCGTCAAAATATTTTTTTCCAACTACCCGGTATAGTTATATGCACACTATCTTATAGAACCTGTGGCTTTCATATTGTTCCAATTTTGACGACCTCCGTGGCCGAGTGGTTTGCACGCGGCGACACCATGAAACCTGTTTATAGTGTCGCCAACTCGCTAGGTTCCGGGTTCAAATCACAACGGGGGCAGATGTTTGCGTGATGAATACGAGCATCTGTACTCCAGTCATGGATGTTTATTATGTATTTCTATAAAAATATACTTATATATGTATAGGTGTTCATCTCTGACAGTGCATCCGTGCTTCAAGACTAAGTAGCAACACGGTAACTCTGCAATGGATAAAATGACACAGCAGCTCAATTGGAAATGACGCAGCAGACGAACTGGCTAAGAGAGGAGCAGACACAAAAGTCTATGGTCCGGAACCTTTGCTGCCCATACCTCAGGCCCAAATTAAAACGTGGCTGCGTGAAATAACTCAGAAATCACACTTGACGGAGTGGAAAACAGGTGAAAGATGCCGGCAAACGAAAAACGCGGTTCCGGCGGCAAATAAAAGTTTTGCCCGCACCCTTACCAGACTATATAGGGACAAACTTCGCAGGATTATAGGAACCCTGACTGGTCATTGTACCCTAAACAAACACCTATATACAACAGGAGTTACAGACATCCCCCTATGCAGAGGATGCATGGAGGCAGAAGAAACGCCACAGCATGTCATCATGGAATGCAGGAGTGTGGCCGACCAACGGGCACGACTTCTCCAGTCACCAGAATCGTTTCCGGAAGCTTGCAGCAGTCTACCAAGGCTGCTTTCCTTCTGGACCGATATAGGCTGGCTTGAGTAAACGGGAATGTTTTTGAAACACGCACAATGGTCCAATAATTAGGACTAAGTGCGATAACCACCCTGAAGAACTGACTAACTATGTATTTTATCCGTTACCCTAGTATCCCATAACACACATCCCAATCCCATAAATTGGTGTGTTGAAAAAAAAAACACTGCATAAAGTGATTGACGCCGAAGCTGATTTTAAATTCTCACTGAATCGATCCAATGTCTCTGCCAATCTGACAGAGAGTGATTCTGAGACCCACCCAAGCATGGCAGCTCCGAAACCGTATCTTCATCGTCAAATTTTGTATGGAAGCAGCCAGTTTATTCTTACGTCCTTTAGGGGGCGCTGCTTAATTTTCATAGAAACTTTGCGAGTGCTTGGGACTTAGTCAGCACCCTTAGCACGAATCAGTATCGAATTCTTTACGTTTGCGAGTGCGAAATGTCATTGTCAAATTTTGTATGGAAACTTGAACAGCAGCGCCACAACGGACGTAACGAGAACTAAAAATCAGTACACATTTGACAATGACATTTCGCACTCGCAAACGTTACGAATTCGATATTGGTTCGTGCTAATGGTACAGTATCGAATTCTTTACGTTTGCGAGTGCGAAATGTCATTGTCAATTTTTGTATGGAAACTTGAACAGCTGCGCCACAACGGACGTAGCGAGAACTAAAAATCAGTACACATTTGGCGTTTAACTAGATCAAATTCAACTATTCGAATTCGGTAACGGTTCGTGTCGTGCTAAGAATACAGCACTCGTTATGAAAAAAAACGAGTAAATAATAATAATAATAAATATTTCCAACACTCACACCAATTAGCCTAGCCCCAA